CTGTCTCCAGCACCTGGCTCTTCTGCACTTCCAGGCATGTCTTTTGTATGTCACTTCCAGCACGTCCTTCTATGCGCAGGAAGTATGTACTTTTTAAGTGGCATCTCAGCACCATGTGCTGCTCTGGCATTTCAGCTCTGGCACCTGTAGGTGAGTTCTGCCCATCGCTAGCCCTTCCTGGGCTATTCCCCATCCTGGGCTGAGGCCATTTTGGGTGGGCATCATGCCACCCCGAGCAAGCAGCTCCCAAGTCGCCTCACATGGCAACAGGCATCAAGAGGCACAACTGATATGATCTTCACAGTTCACCAGCTGCAGCAGAAATACTGGGAAAAACATAAGCCTCCCTATATGGCCTTCTTTGACCTCACAAAAGCCTTCAACTCTGTCAGCTAAGAAATCTTACAGTCTAAACAATCCTTCTGAAGTACAGATACGCACCAAAATTTGTCACTATTCACTGCCTGCTCTATAACAGTATGTGAGTGGTGGTTCTTAATAATGGATTTATCACAGATCCATTTGAGGTTAAAATGGGAGTTAAGCAAGGCATCATTGCTACAACACGTCTCAATATTTCTTACTGCGTCACTCCATCTGACCACCAACCAGCTTCCAGCTGGAGTGGAGCTAAACTACCTAAACTAGCAAGCTGTTTAACCTCAGCTGACTCTGAGCCAAAACCAAAACCATCACAACATCAATCACTGAGCTCCTGCACACTGATGATGTTGTAGTGTGCTCTCTTGGAAACAGACCTTCAGGCATTCATCAAAATCTTAACTGAGGCATACAAACAATTTGAAAGATGTTTATGTTAGACCCCCGACTCCATGTGATGCCTGACTAGGGAAACAACAGATCAATGTCATCACGCATCACCTGCACACATTGCCCATCAACAGCTTTATTCAAAATGGAGACAGCTTTGAGCCAGCTTCAGCAAACCTGGGAGCAGCTACAAACATTAGTTCTTTCCATATTTATACACCTTGGTTCATTCTCATTAACATTTACTCCACCTTTGTCCCCCCTTTGTTCCACCCTTATTCCCTCCTATTTTAAGCTCCGCCTCTGTTTACTGTTTATTTCATTAGCATGGAATTGCCCATGCATTTCAAAGATTTCATAGACATTAGGGCTGGAAGGGAGCTCGGAAGATCATCGAGTCCAGCCCCCAGCACAAAGGGCAGGAAGTCAGCTGGGGTCATAGGATCCCAGAAAGATAAGCATCCAATTTCCTCTTGAAGGTGTTCAATGTAGGTGCTTGAACCACCTCCGATGGCAGGCTGTTCCAGACCTTGGAGGCTCAGACAGTAAAGAAATTCTTCCTTATGTCCAGCTTGAAACGGTCTTGCAGTAGTTTATGACCGTTCAACCTCATCATCCCTTGGGGCACTCTGGTGAACAAATGTTCCCCCAGATCCTGGTGGTCACCCCGATAAACTTATAGGTGGCCATCAATCACCCCGAGCCTGCACTTTTTTAGGCTAAAGAGCCCCATGGCTCTCAGCCTGTCATCGTAGGTCTGTTTTCCTGACCTCTGATCATGCGAACAGCTCTTCTTTGCACTCTCTCAAGTTTCTCCACTTCCTTTTTGAACTGTGGAGCCCAAAACTGGATGCAGTACTCCAGCTGCGGCCTCACCAAGGCCGAGTACAAGGGGAGAATGATGTCCCCGGATTTGCTTGAGAAGCATCTATGGATGCAAGCCAGCGTTTTGGTCGCTTTAGTAGCCGCAGCATCACATTGCAGGCTCATGTTCATCTTGTAGTCAATGATGACCCCCAAGTCTTTTCCTTCCGTAGTGCTAGCCAGCGTAGCACTGCCGAGCCTATAAGGATGCTGCAGGTTTTTCTCCTCAAGGTGGAGAACTTTGCATTTTTCAGTGTTAAACACCAT